ATCTACATTAAACAGCATCAAGAAAACATCTAGCGATTATTGAATGTTCTTAAAATCTTGAAACCTAGTTTCAAATTCTGTGTGAGGTTTTTTCAACGCCTAACTGAATTCTTTTGTTCCCACTCACTGGTGGACATGGATTTTAAACACAGAAAGCGAGTTAAATCGTTCTTCGTTGTGCAGTTATAAAACAGAGAAAGCTGAGTTTTAAATGATTTAAGACAACACCAAGTCTCATCTATAACAAACATTGGTTCTTTCCTTGCAATTCCTTATTTAATTTGTTATAGTGCTCAAGCAAATCTGTAAAAATTGCAAAATCGGTACCCCAATCTTTGTCCTATAGGTTATGCATCTATTATTCTACCAGAATCTACTTTGAAGTGGAATCTACTTTTTCTTCTCGACAGTCAAAACGTTTTTTTATTATTATAACGAGACATGTACTATCCGTGTTGATAAACCTTCAGCCTTTTTATCAATATACCTTACAAATCCTGCGAGATGAAAATGGGTGGTAGATTCACTTACATATATTTGATAGAGCCACTTATTTTCTGACCCTGGGAAAGCTACAAAAATACTCATTTAAAAGCAACGGGCAGCGGCATCGAAGGTGTGGTGCGTCTGGAACTGTGATCTGACAAACGGGACAAATAAGGTTATTTCACCTTACATAAGAAGAGGTCCATGTTCAGCTGTGAACTTTTGCAGGCTAATGAAGGAGTACAAGAAGCATTAAATCATTATAATTACATTCCTAAATTCTTTTTGTTATGACATAACAGCAAAACTCACCCGTGCCCTGCGTTTCTCTTTAATTGTTTGGCATGATCAGCGGTGGTCTTTGCCGTTCTTAATAATATAGCTCTTGAAACTAAGGTACGAGCCAGCATTTTTCAGTGCTTGTCGACACTACAGAATTTACTTCATTCAGTAAAATTTTAGCACTATGCAATGAGCTAAGATTCTCGGCCTACGGCTAAAAAGCTGACTGTTGTGTTGACATCTGTCAACTCATGGCCTATCCATGCATTATAGTGGGTGCGTTTGGCAGAAAAAAGCGCTAGCAAGCGCTTGTAAACAAAATGGCGATCGTAAGCGGTAAGTGCTGTCAAAGCGTAAGTAGCTATTTTCCTCTAGGACACGATGTTAGTTTTAACCGGGGAACCTAACCTAATTTAAATATATGTTTGTAAAGTATTCATATTAAAAACCTACCAAATATGAACTTTTAATAACATGTATTTGTCTTTTCATGTCATTATATTACTTAAAACTAATATTGCACAAAACAACTTATAAACTCTACTTCAAAACAAACAAATTAAATAAGCAAAATGGCGGATTGTGTCAGCGCTATGAAGTAGCAATCGTGTCCTGGCCGAAAACTATTTTAGCGCTTATAAGCGCTTGCTAGCGCTTTTTTAAAAGCGCTAGCAAGCTATTAGCACATGCTATTAAAAACTCATGATTGGTAAGTTTTTAATATGAATACTTTACAAACATATATTTAAATTAGGTTAGATTCCCCGGTTAAAATTAACATCGTGTCCTGGAAGAAAATAGCTACTTACGATTTGACAGCGCTTACCGCTTACGATCGCCATTTTGCTTACAAGCGCTTGCCAGCGCTTTTTTCTGCCAAACGCACCCAATGCATGGAGGCTAGAGAACAGGAGAACGATCGCTGTAGAAAATAGTGTCTCAGAAATATGGATAAAATAAGTGAGACGCTGCGATCGCTAAGTTGTATCAATAATTTTAATTATTATAAATATTATAAATTATTACAAATATAAATTACTATGTGGGGTATCTATATAGTTTTCTCATCTGGTTGGGTTCTATAAATATATAATTATAAATTAAAATGAAAAGATAAATATAATTAAAATAAAATAAATACATAAATAAATAAAAGCAAAAATATTATATTTGTAATTATATTTTTTTATAAATTATTACAAATATAAATTACTTTTTATTATTGATTTATTTTGAGGTATCTATATAGTTTTCTCATCTGGTTAGGTACCATTAAAATATAAATGTGAACGAAAATGATAAATGTACATAAATAACAATAAAATAAAATAAATACATAAATAAACAAAAGCCCAACCAGATGGAAGCCCTCGGCAGGGGAGACCAAACGGCCGAGGGTAAGGGGGAAAGGGGAAGAAACCGCCGGACAATGCGGGCGGTATCAAGGAGCACCGCCTTCTGCATTTGAGCCCGGAGCAGTCCGTCACAGAGTCCCAGTCGCCTCAGATGACCCGAGAGGCTGACTGGGATTAGCCCGTTTGCAGAAACGACTACAGGTATAATTTTGGTCGACAGCCCACCCTACATGTCGGTCATCTAGTGAGTCAGGTCAAGATATTTTGTTCGCTTATCTGTTTCGGCTTTTTCACGAGGTTCTCGTCATACGGAATGGTAATGTTGACCAAAAATATTCCTGACTGTGCCCGGTCCATCAGCACAATATCAGGCTTATTCGCAAGAATAGGCCTGCCTGTGATGATAGCCCGGTCCCAGTAGAGCCTGGAATGGTCATTTTCGAGCACGGCAAGTACTTGTAATACGACAGTTTCTAGTCCACGAGACCGTATTTCAAAGCGAGCTCCTGGTGTAGAATTCTGGCTACTAGGTTGTGCCTATGCAAGTACTCAGAGTTAGAAAGCGCCGAACAACTGGAGGTGACGTGCCTAAGTGACTCACCGGGATGGCGACAAGCTCGACAGATGTCGATGGTGCCATCCTTTAGGATGTATCTCCGATAGTTGTTGGTCTTAATAACCTGATCCTGTATCGCACAGATAAAACCCTCGGTTTCCCCGAAGAGGTCACCGAAACGTAGCCAGTTGAGGGAGGTGACTGTATCTACGAAAGGTTCATGTAGAGTCTTGTAGAACCTCTCGTGGAGCTCCTTCTCCTTCCATACAGTCTCCCGGTCGGAAATGCTCTGTATCGCAGGGTCTTGCCATTGTTCGTTGGTCAAGGATAGAGGGGTAAGCCCATTATCACAACAAATAACGTCCCTATAGAATGGATCATCCGATATCCTCAGAAAGTAATTACGGAGGCTGCACACTTCACGATTATGCATGATAAGCGCGCTTAATAAGCCACGCCCACCATATTTCCGCGCCAAGTACAGCCTCATAATCGAAGATCTCGGTTGATGCATCCTATGGGACGTCATAGTAGTGCGGACTTTTTTATCCAGGGCGTTAAGTTCAGTCTGAGTCCACCTAAGTATGCCAAAGGTATACATGAGTACAGGCATGACCCAACTGTTATATGCTTGTGTCTTATTCACACCGGACAAAAGGTTGTTAAGCGCTTTGGTCAAACGTGCATAAAACACGTCGCAAACTGACTGTTTCATACCAGCCTCATCGATACCGATGTTCTGTGACATACCCAGGTATCGGTATGTTTCAGCCTCGGAAAGGGTCCTTAAGTTGACGGGCATAGACAAGTCTATGCCCTCAGAGTTAGCAACCCTTCCCCTTTCAATATGGAGGACCGCACACTTATCCGTTCCCAGCGCCATTCCAATAGAACTGCTAAATTCACAAGTGATATTTAGCAATTCCATAAGATGGGAACGACTGGAGGCGAATAACTTGAGGTCATCCTAATAGAAAAGGTGGGTCACTTTTGTAGCTTCTTTCCGAAGCTAAAATCTCCCCCCCCCCTTGGAGCCCTCCAGTAATATACTGAGAGGGTTCAGAGAGAGGTAGAACCAGATTGGACTCAGACAATCGCCCTGGAAAATACCCTTTCTTATCCTTATGCGGCTTTCCGCAGCCATCATTCGCTCACCCAGATGACGAAGGATCGTACTCCACTGTCCCATACATTGCTCGAGGAAGTCTCTAACTGTACAGTCTATCTTGTACAGCTCGAAAACCCTCTTTAGCCATGTATGGGGAACCGAGTCGAATGCCTTTTTGTAGTCTATCCAGGCGGCGGAGAAGTTCCAAGGGTTGCGTTTTACCACTTTACCAATGACCGCGTCAATGAGGAGTGGTTTCTTGGTTCCACGACCACCGCCCCGACATCCATTTTGAGGACGCGACATCACCTGATTTGAGTCCAGGTGACGAGTGATTCTCGCGCTCAATATGGATGTTAGTGTCTTGTATACAGTCGGTAGACACGTGATGGGGCGGTATTTACTCGGGTCTGTGGTAACCTGGTCTTTAGGAACCAAATGAGTCATCCCAGTAGCGATGAGGCTAGGGAGCGACTTCTGGTTGAGAGCCTCTTGAAACTGTCGAGCGGCACAGCGTGACACACCATGAACCCCTTCAGCCAGTAGTGATGCAGTCCGTCGAGTCCCGGATTTTCCAGTTCGGGGCGCTATGGACTGCTTCAGCTACGTCATCCGGTGTTATGATGACGGGGTCCATGGGTATAATACCACACACTGACTCACCACAACTTCGGTCCAAGGGTCCTCGCCGTGGTTTACGGACTCTGACCACAGGCCGTGCCAGAATCGGTTCGTCTATGCGCTCCGTCAGTTTTTGCATTATATTCGGTTGAAACAAACTAACATTTGTCCCAGCAAATGCCATCCTGACGGTGCGCACAATCCTTGGCCTGTTATTGCCTGACCTGAAGCATATACCATTTTAAATGTTTGAATATGGATAAGACTGCTTTCTTTAAATGAGACGGCCAAACAAAATCTAAATGGAAATGCAAAACTTACGTTAATGTAACAAATCAACGCAAGGGAGATATTTCAAAAACACCTGTTAGAAAATCAGTACCATTTAATGATTCAATAATGTCCTGCGACGACTCTCTTTCTGTTGAACACTCGGAAACTTCACTAGGTTCTCAGCCATCAACTTCTATGTGCCCTTCTCTAGGTCAAGAAGTTACATTGGAGAGTATAGCCAGACTTCTAGATATGAAACTTGATGCTATTTAGCATAGATGAAAAATTTGAATCACTCAAGAAATCATTCTATATTAATATGAAATCATTAATCGAAACGGAGATTGTTACAGCCATTGATCAAGTCAAAATTGAATTTACCGAGACTACAGACTTTCTACGTCAGGGGCAAAAAGAACTCAAGACAAATGTTGAATCAGCAGATTCAACATTAGAACTAGAAAAAATTAATGCCGATCTAACAAACAAAATGAGTGTACTGCATCGTCGTTTGGAATCCATGGAAAGAATTTCCCGCAGTCACAACATGGAGATACAAGCAGTCCCCGAAAAACGGAATGAGAATATTTTGACGCTTGTCAAAATATTTACTCTACAGTAAAATTACCAACGACAGACGCTGAAATTAGTATCTGTCGAAGGGTTGCTAAATTGCCGACCACATCAGCTCAACGCCTGCGTAATATTTTGCTTTCGCTGCCTTCCATTCGGCATCGTGATAATCTTCTGTCAGCGGTCAAACGTTATAATAAGGCTAACCCTGGCAACACATTAAGCTCTGTACATTTAGGAATTCAAGGGGACAGATGCCCAATTTACGTTTCCGAACATCTCTCTCCAGAAACCAAGGAGCTTTTTGCTTTGACACGGGCTACTGCTCGTGGGAAATATAATTACGTGTGGGTTAAATTCGGGAATATATATGTGAGAAAATATGATAATTCTTCAGCAGTACATATTTAAAACAAAGATTGTTTGGCTAAAATTAGTTAATTGATTTGTATTGTAGTAACTCACATTTTGTTTTTGTTTATTTTGCGTTTAACTTTTGTATTTTTTTGTCTTGAATGTTAATTTACTATCAAAATGTTAATCGTATGCGTTCCAAAACACATCAGCTGTATACAAATTTACTAAATAATGAATATGATATTATTTGCTTAACCGAAACTAACTTAGATGAAGGTTTTTTTAATGAAGAATTATTTGATGAGCGTTATAATATATTCAGACGGGACAGAGGGGAATACGCTTATGGCGGATGAAAATACGAGGGAGGAGGTGTGATCTTGGCCATAAAAAATGTTTTACTGTTACTCGTAGGCAATTTTGGGGCAGTAACTTTGATGATATTTGGGTTTCACTTATTTCTACAAATTGCTTGTCATTAAATATCTGTGTTTGTTATCTTCCACCTCATTTTCAATCGGACGACATCAATAAACTTATGAAACACTATCAAAGTATCATACTTAGCAATGCCCATTCTGGACATTTCTTATTGGTAGGCGATTTTAACTTTCCTGACATAGACTGGGAGATCTCTAATTTAGAATTACGTTTAATTCCAAATGCTTCTGCTGGCACTAAAGGCAGTTTTCTTTTAGATACTATGGCACTATGTGATCTGAAACAATATAATAATTCTAAAAATCTGAATTATCGTGTACTTGATCTCGTATTATCAACTATGGACGAAGTAAGACTAAAAGAAGTAGAACCATTATTCAAAGTGGACGGTCATCATTCATGTGTAGAAATTAATCTTAATTATACAAATAATAAATCAAATTTTGTTAAATTTAATCGCAAACTTTTGAAACCAAATTATCATAAATGTAATTTTGGAAAAATTAAAGAACATTTAATAAAAGTTAATTGGCATGAACTGGTAAATGACTTGGACCCTGATAGTGCTGTTGATGCTATCTAGAAAGACCTTAATTCAGCTATTTTGCTACTTGCACCATTTAAAAAATGTAATCCTAACCAATATCCATACTGGTTTAACTTTCCTCTAATTTGTTGCCTTCGAGATAAAAAGTATCATAAGTTGTATAAAAAATTTGGTAATCCGAGGGATTATGATACATGCAATATGCTGAGAACTCGTAGTTAACTTAATGTCTTAATTTGACTGCCTTACTTAATTGAATTAATTGAGCCTGTTACAAATCGATTCAAAATGAAGTTGAGAATAGTTTAGGTAAAAACGTTAAACATTTCTTTGAGTTCGTAAATAACAAAAAATCAAGTAAAGGTATCCCTGAATACCACTAGAACTATGACTCTGATGCTAAAACTGCTACAGATCCCCAAGGAGTCTGTGAACTTTTTTCATTACTTTTTCGTATTTTGTTTCTGTTTATGAAAAACCTGACAACTGTGAACCCAAATTTAATATACCGGACAGGTCTAATCTTGCACTATCTAATATAGCCATTAGTAGAGATGACATTATTAGAAAGATTAAAACACTAGAGGCTCATAAAGTTCCGGGTCCCGATGGAATTCCATCATTATTTGTTAAGGCGTGTTGTGAAGAACTTAGTTTGCCGTTATTTATAATTTTCAATAAGTCTATTAAGAGCGGCATATTCCCTTCTGTTTGGAAAAATGCCTATGTAGTTCCAATTCATAAGTCTGGTGATTAAACAAAATGTGAAAACTATAGGCCAATTAGTATCTTATCCTGTATGGCTAAAATTTTTGAATCGTTGGCTTATGACCATATTTACAACCACGTGAAACAAAGCATACCAAACTTACAACATGGTTTTGTTACTGGTAGATCAACCGTTAGTAATTTACTTATCTACAAAAATTACATCTGTCAAGCGTTTGCTAACCAACGCCAAGTAGACTCGATTTATACTGACTTTTCAAAGGCGTTTGACAAAGTCAACCATAGAATACTCGCGGCTAAATTAGCAGCATACGGGATACATGGCAATTTGTTGCGTTGGAAAATTTCGTATCTTTCTAGACGTAGTCAGATCGTTGCAATAAAAGGTTTCCTCTCCAAACCATTCCATGTAACATCCGGGGTTCCTCAAGGGTCCCATCTTTGACAGGTCAACCAAAAAATCCATAAAAACCTGCGTGAAAGAACATATAGCTGACGTGAAGCACCGACGCTCCGGGAAGTCTGCAGTCTGTGAACATGTTCAAGATCGTCCCCACCATTATTACATCAGATTTGATAAACCACAAATCCTCGCAAAAGAACACCGATTCCTACCAAGGGTGATACGCGAGGCTATTGAAATTAAAAAACATCCTAATTTCAATAGAGAAGATGGTTGGGTGTTGCCATTTGCTTGGGATCCTATAATTAACAAAATTAAACCCAAACCCAAACATACCTCTGCAAGACTTCAAGATACTGTAAGTTCGTTTTACTTAAATCGGACCAAAAATTAATATTCAAAAACTGAAGGTAGCCGGGCTAACAATGACACTGGGACGTCAAACATCTCAGTCCCCCCCCGTGACCATGGTTGCTGTAAAGCACCCGAAACGTCGGGAATTAAAAATAAGTAAAATCAGTTAAATAAACGCGATAGAATCCATAAATTTAGTTTTATTCAAAATTTTAATCACTTAACGCAACGTGGTTATCAGTTAGTTGGTTTTGTTACACGAGTTATGAAGGAATTCAAGAGACCCCTTAGTCTAATATATCTTTTTAACACTCTTGTGAGACCGATCCTTGAATACGCCTCAGTAGTCTGGTCACCCTATTACGAAGTACATATAGCTAACATTGAACGAGTCCAGACATGTTTTCTGCGGAGCTAATGTCGTAAACATGGATTGATCCGACAGTTGCCATCGTATAATGAAAGAGTGAATTACTTTGGAGTTACGAAATTAGATAAACGTAGACAATATTTTGAGCTTATTTACCTTCACAAAATCATTCACACCTCCATCGATTTCTCAGAATTGCTTGTTATTTAATGAAAGAAACAACACGTCTTTCATTAAATAACAAGGTACTTTTTCATTATAAATATTTAACACCATCTAATATTATATATAAAGAAACCAAATTATTAAATATATCACAAATATATCAATATAATACTTGCATATTAATACGTAAAATACTTAAAAACGATATTCATTCGCAAATATTGTTTAAAAAAAAGTATAGATTTTCACAATCGTAACCTTAGACGTGCCCATGATATATACATACAAAAAGTTAGAACGGAGTATGGTAAGAAAAATATAATGTTTGACGGTGCAAAACTGTATAACGCTTTACCTCAAAATATAAAAGAATCAAAAACGTTATCTTTATTTAAAAACTTATTGAAATGCCATATTTTGGAAAATTTACCAAAAAAAAATACAAGCTAAAATTAATGTTAAGATTTAAAACATATACATTAGTTTTAAATAAACAATATAAGAAAAATTTATAGAAGTTTTATTTTATAGTTTTACAATAACGTGACAATCAACAAGTAACGTTGCTAAGATACCTATTTCTTTTTAATATTACGTGTATCTTCTTAACATTCGCCTTCCTTTTAGAACTTCATGCCCATTTTTATAGTTAATTCCAAAACTCATGGCTTATATAAAGGTTTTGTTAATATATCAGCAAGCTGGTCCTTAGCACATGTTTTCAGCACCTCCAAATTTCTTTGCTCAACACATTCTCTTATAAAGAAGTGTCGTATACGAATATGTTTGGTTCGATGGAGCATTTCAAATGGTGGATCATGGGCTAGCTTTATAGCCGATTCATTGTCAAGATGTAGCCTGGGAATACTTTCACAACTATCAACTAAAAATCTTAATATTTTATCCATCCAAATGATTTCTCTTACTGCTTCACTAGCAGCAACTAGTTCAGCTTCTGTAGATGATATAGCTACGCTTGATTGCCGCTTACTTTGCCATGCTATTGCACCACTAGAGTAAATGCACAGAATACCTGATGTCGACCGTCCAGTGATATGATCACCTCCATGATCTGCATCACTATAGCACTCTAAATGATTGCAATTACTCGAACTTTTGTAAATTATACCATAGTCAGTTGTGCCTTTTAAATACCGCATTATGCGTTTCACCTTAGCCACGTTTTCTGCCGTAGGATTATCCAGTTTTCGTGACACAAATCCTACCGCAAATGCTATATCTGGTCGAGTTCCAGTCATCAGATAAGATAAGGAACCCACGGCTTGACGATAAGGGAATAATACTTTTGGATTAGTTTCATTGTTGAAATTTTTGTCATTGTCAATATCCTTCGTTATCGGTGTAGCAGCTGGTTTACAATTCTGCATACCAAACCGTTCAAGTATCCTTTTCGTAAATCCCTTTTGATCAATTTTTATAGATCCATCTACTTTTCTATCGATCTCAATTCCGAGAAAATACGATGCAGTTTTGAACGTGATTTTGAAATTTTTGTTCATCGCACCCATAAAATTGTCTATTTCATTTAAATTTGTTGCTGCTACTATCCATCATCGACATAGAGAGCTATAATAGTTTTAATACTTCCCCGCTTCCTTACGAACAAACAAGGGTCAGATTCACTTTGATTAAAATCAATTTGTAATATATATTGTGTAATAC